GGAAGCCGCGACGGGCACGGAGGGCCGGGACAGGGGGGCGGGAGACGGGCCCGCGGTGTAAGAGCAGGGTGAAGCAGGGCAGGGCAGACCCCGGGGACCTGGGGACGGCTTGGCTGGGACCGACGGAGGGGGCCTGGATTCTGGGCAGAGGATGAAGGCGCTGAGTGCAGACGGGGCCCGGGGCGGGGAGGGCTCGGGGCGGTTTAGAGGCCACCTCTGGACATCCTGGCGGGCGGCGTGGACCAAGAAGGGGGCCGAGGACTCAGGCCGGGCCTGGAGCTCAGCCCAGCGCCTTCCTCCCAAGCAGGAAGCAGCACGGAAGGTCCTGGGGACGGATGGCCTCTTCCTCTTTTCCTCCCTGGACACTGACCGGGACATGTACATCAGCCCGGAGGAGTTCAGACCCATCGCTGAGAAGCTGACAGGTACCGGAGGCTGGGCGCGGCAGGGGGCATGGCCGCCCTCACTGAGCAGGAGGGCAGTGGAGTAGGGTGTGGTCGTGGGTCCTCGGGGCCCTGACACATGATGGTTTGCAGAGCTGCTTCCACACCCCTGGGCCTGGCCCCTGAGCACCTGGGGTCAGACGGCACGTTAAGCCCTTCGTGGCGCTTCTCTTCTTGAAGCCACAGTCCTGTGCACTGGATACTGCCCTGACTCGTTTGGTGTGGGACGCTAGGCACAGGCAGGTTTGCCAGCTCCCACCGGCCGGAAAGGCAGAGCGGGGTTAGAGCCAGGGCCAGACTGGGACCATGTGGCTAGGGACCTGCGCTGCTCCAGGACTGGCGATTCCAGAAAGCCCTCAGTGGCGGTATGCAGGCCATGTGAGTGGGCAGGAGCCGCTCCAAACTGCTGAAACCCCGCTGGGGGGCTGCCCGAGACCGGCCCTTCCTGGCTCTCCACTTTGCCTAGTCGGAATCAGTGACACGTGTGCGCATGTGAAGACGCAGGCCTGAACATTCTAATGAATTATAAAGTGCCCCCTACTCTCCCCTGCAGCTTCTATGTCCGTTTCCCTCCAACTTCTTTCTCTCTTTTTTTTCCCATTTGCCTGAGGGCACGTGCACTCACTGGAGAGGGAGAGAGGGAGAGGAAGCAAGCATTCCGCAATGGGGTGTGGTCACACCGCGGTCCCTTCTCCATTTCTCCACCTGTCGGGATTCTGGGCACACGTGCACACACACCCGGTGTGTGTTTCAAGCTGCTGGTCTGGGACCTGAACCCTTACAGCCAGCCACATGGCATCCAGCTGCCTTAACCACCAGGCCACTGGCTGGCCCCCTGCAACTTCACGGGACATTTCTTGAACTTAGGATTTTGGACACTTGTTACCCGTGTTGCCCGGTATAAGTGCGTCAGTTGCTGGGACAGGCAAGGGCCTGGACAATGGTGCAGCAGTGAAACATGACCCTCTGCAGGGCTGACCCATGTGGCAAAGTTCCGGGTTTGTGTCCAGAGACTTCTTGAGTATGCTCAGAACATACAAGCTATGATCCACGGCAAGCCGAGGCTGGGGAAGAAAGTGTTTTGTGTTTATTTTTTATTTTATTTTTTTACATTTTTGCCATAGGGCATGTGCTCTTGTCAGAGAGGAGAGAGACACAGAGATATAGAGGGAAAGTGAGAAATCAACCCCTGGAGAATGGCCATGCCACAATTCCTTCTTTTCCACTCTCCCCTTGAGATTTTGGACACTCATGCACACAGCATGATTTTCAAGCCCCCGTGTCCGGGACTCCAACCACAGTTGGCCATGTGGGAATCCAGCTGCCTTAACAACCCACGCCACCTGCTGGGTGGGTCATAGAGTTGTTTTTTGGTGTGTGTGTGCGTGTGCGTGTGTGTGTGTTTGATGGGAATGGGAAGAAAAAGATGCCATCTGCTCTCAAGTGCACACGCACCAAAGCACCATTGTGGACTCTGTTTATTTTTTCCTTGGGTGAGAGACAGACAGCACCCCAGTGGGGTCTTGATGCCATGATCCACCCCCCAGCCTCAGCCAGCTAGGATCGTGGACTGCAGGGAGGTCTCCAGGCTTGAACCAGGAGCCTTCCTCTGTGGGGTTACAGCACAGAGCATTGCGGTTTCCTGCAGTGGCGCTATCTGGGCCCCTGTCGCAGGCTTCTGTGTTTTAGGGACGGGGTGGGCCTGCTGGCCACTTGCGGTCCTGGCGACCTGTCAGCGTTAGAGGAGGAAGGCCAGACGGAAGGTGCTGCCTGCTGCGTGGCTGTGTGTTGGCGTCTGTCTCAGGGCGGGCAGCCGCACCGTGAAAGCAGAGGGCCGAGTAAGCAGGCCTCCCTGTGGCTTCGTTCACGTCTAATTTTGCTGCATTTGCTTCTCTGAGCATCCGTGCGCCCACCTCCGGGCCCTCAGGATGACATGGTAGCAAAGCTTGCTGGGCTTGAGGCACTTTTAATTCTTTTTCATGTAAATCTTTTTTTTTCCATCGAGAGAAAAGTACACCTGTTACCTCCAGGCTGTGAGTGGAGCAGGTTCTGAGAAATCAGGAGACAAAGTAAAAGCCCAACAAGAAATAGATGCGAATAGTTTTCGCTAGCGGGTAAGGTTGTGTGTATGTTTCATTTCCTGCTTTATGCCTTGGAAAAGTTGCATACTATCTATAATGAATAGGTGTGACTTATAAGTCAGAAAATAAAATGTTTCATTTTAAAAAACACAAAGGGTCGGACTGGATCACACATGGCTGACCGTGCAGTTCGAGTCCCAGACCTAGTGGCTTGAAAATCATGCCGTGCACGTGTGCCCAAAATCCCCAGAAGAGAATGGAGAAGGGATTGCTGCGTAGTCCTCCCCCCGGGGTGATTTCTTACTCCCCTCACCCTCCGGCAAGTACACATACCCTATAGTAAAAAGTTAAAGGGGGTGGGGGGGGGCAGTTCAGCACCATAGGCTAGTGGTTGAGACAGCTGGATCCCACATGGCTGACCTCAGTTTGATTCCTAGCCCTGGTGGCTTGAAAAGCACACTGGCAAAGACCAGCAGATGGTGTAATGGCTATATCACTGGACTCCTATGTAGTTGACCAGAGTTCGAGTCCTGGACCCAGCAACTTAAAACTCATGCTGGGCACGTGTGTGTGCGTGCCCAAGATCCCAAGAGGAGAGTGGAGGAGAAGGGGTTGCAGCATGGCCATCCCCCTGGGGGTGATTTCTTACTCTCTGTCTCTCTGGCGAGCGCACATACCCAATAGCAAAAATCTCTTGAAAGGAAGACAGACGGACGGGCAGACAGATGGACAGACACACTGGGCGCACGTGCACTGCTGTGCTGAAAATCCTCCTGAAGGGAGAGGTGGAGGAGAAGGGCTTATGGTGTGACCACACCCCATCAGCCGTGCTTTCTCCCTCTGTCTCTGCAAGACCTGAGAATGGTTAGTGACATTTCTCTGCATTACCGGGAGCTCACTGCGTCCGTGTGGCAGACACCATAGCCCCCCATATTCCCGTGGCTGCCTTCGTCCGAGGGTTCCAGATGGCTGTTATGGGAAGCCGTGCTGCATTGCCTGACAGGGGATCCTTGAGAACAGGGCCACCCCTGGAGCAGCTGAGGACTGCTCACTAAGAGGGTGCGTCCCCGGGTCCAGCTTTCAGGGTCCTGATTCAGTGTGACGTCTGAGCTGGGGTCTAGCCATCTGCAGTTTGAAGAGGCACGCTGGGGGTTCTGACAAATCCTGGTTGAGAACTGCCCCTGTCCCATTCAGCCTGCCCGCTGGCCTGCCAGCAAGCACCAGGCATCGCCTCTGGGCTGGGAACCTGCCCGGGGAGAGCCCGTGAGCGGGACCACCCCTGCCTCACCCCGCATAGGCAGTGCTAGTCAGTCCTTTTGAAACCGGCTTCTCTTCTCCCGGAAGCCTTCGCAACACTCTCCCTCCACACTTGAAGCACTGAGCAGGAACAGATCTGAGAAACTGAGTCTGGCCACTGCCAGGTGAGCCCCTCCTTCCACCAGCAGCGGATGGGCCACCCGGAAAGCAAGAAGTGAGAGTCTCCTCGCCCAGCCAGTGTCCCCCCCGGGGCCAGCGGCGGCCAGATGCTGTTTCTGGCTTTTTGTTCCTCTAGTTCCCTTGACTGGGCCCCTCTCAGTCTCGAAGATGGTTGCGCTGAGCTGTGTGACCTTAGGAAGTGACGTCCCCTCTCTCAGCTTCTGCTTCCTTTGTGTTTTTATTATTTATTTATTTATTTTTAAGTTTTTGCCATAGGGTGCAAGTGCTCACTGACAAAGAGAGACTAAGAGATGCAGAGAGAGAGAGTGAGAAGTCACCCCGGGGAGTGGCCATGTCGCAATCTCTTCTCCTTCACCCTTCTTTTGGAATTTTGGGCACACACGCCCAGCATGAGTTTCAGGACACCAGGCCCAAACCGCGGTCGTGTGGGTCCAGCACCTTAACCACCACACCTGCTGGTCCCCTCTCTCGTTTGTAAGACAGAGTTAGTGATGTTGCCGTCTGCCTCCCAGGGTCACTGAAAACACGGGGTGAGCCCCCGTTGGGTGTTACTTTGGCCATGTTGACTGTCCTCCCGCTCCAAGTCTGGCTAGCACAGACTCCCAGAGAGAAGCGAGGCCCTGCAGCCATCGTGTCTCACAGGGTCCACTCCGGCGGCCAGCTACGAGGAGGAGCCAGCCCCTGACCCCAGCGAGGAGACGCTCACCATAGAAGCCCGATTCCAGCCTCTGCTCCCAGAGACCATGACCAAGAGCAAAGACGGGTTCCTGGGGGTAAGTTGGGGCATGGGGCCATGGGCGGGACGATGGACAGCAGGGGTCATCCACACACACTGGCCGGGGCCGGGCTGGACCTTGTCGTCTGTCCTCTGCCAGCTGCTCTCTGCATGCCCATTGCGCCAGGCCCCATGCCAGGCCCTGGGGCTGTCCCGCTGTCCAGGCACATGGCCTGCCAGGCCTCTCTCTGCCCCAGGTGGGGGAAGCTGGATGGCTTCCTGGAGGGAGTGACAGCTGACAAAGACTGCAGGGTGAGGAGGGTGCAGCTGGGTGACCTGGAGGAAGGAGCAGATGCAGTAGAGACCCTGCCAATGCAGCGCCCCCCTGTCTCTGTCACTTTCCACGCACTTCCTCCCCCACCGGGCCCTCTACGATGCCTAGCACCTGACAGGTCTCTACTCAACTCTTGTGACCTAGACCTGGGGTTTAGGGGACTGTGGGGTGCAGAGGGCTCCTGAGGAGGAAGACAGTTGCTGTAGTGGCCGGCCCCTTCTCTGTCCTGTGGTGGGACCTGGAGCCCCTCTCAGGACCCGAGCTCTCCCGGACCCTGGCCGCCTTCCTGCCCTTGTTCCTGCCCTCTCCTCCCAGCCCTCTCTGTTCCAGCCACACCAGACATCACCTGGCTTTCTTGCAAACGTGTGCCTTCTCGCACGCCATTCCCTCTGTCAGGAACGACTCTCTGGCCCAACTCACACCGCTCAGCCTGTCCTCTCGGCCGAAATGCCACTTCAGCACAAGAAAGGCCTGAAGGCAGAAGGCACCTTGCGGTGCTGGTGTGAATGGACCTTGGCACTGGGACTCGGGCGGAGCATCCCGCTCTGCTCACTGGGGCTACAGAGAAGTTGCCAGACTGCCCGGGGCCTCCTTGCCTGTCTTTGGCCTTCATTCTGCAGCAGAAAAATAGCACAGCAGACTCGGACCCCGGAGCGCTCCCTTGGCAGATCTGTGCTTTCCGGCTAGCAGTGGAGGCCTGGGAGCTGAGGGGCACGTGGAGAAACGGGAGAGGAGGCGGGCGAGAGGCGGTGGTGATGGGCTGCAGAGGATGCCGGGAATGGAGGCAGGAGCAAGGCAGGACGGGGCTCCTGATGGGAGGCGCAGGGAGGAGTCGAGTGCATGGGCTTCTGCGGGGACAGGTGCATGGTGGGCTGCTTGCCCAGAGGGGCGCACAGTGATTCGGGTCGGCGGGCTGTGGTGGAGTTGAGTAGTGGTCAGAAAGTCGAGTTTGACCTTCCACAGAAAGATCTGGCCTGGAGAGGGGCTTGGTGGCCATGGGGCTGTCTGAGGAGAGTCTCCCACAGTGCCTGGGGCCCACCTGCACTCATGGAGACAGGCAGGAGCAGCACCCCAGCCCTGGCCTTCCTAGCAGAGCTCTGCCGAGCTCCCCAGCAGGGCGGCCAGCCTGGCCCTCACCGCTGGCCCTGCTCTGGCAAGCTGCCTCTTCAGGCCCTTGGGTGGAGCTCCCGGTCCTCTTCAGCTCCCACCCCCTTCCCACCACGCCTGGGCTCGGCCACCATGGAGACGGAACGGGAGAGAACCTGCCACTCCTCAAGGACTAGGCCGGCTCCCCAGTGGCTGATGCCGTGGGGGACATGCCTTGTGCCTGTACCCCTGAGAGTGGGGAGGAGCTGGGGAAGGGGGCGCTCGCGAGGGTGCTCTGGCTTGGAGTGCCGGGCCTCGTGCCAGGCCTCACACGTGGGCAGCCCTGGGGCTCAGCCCCCTCTCCTGGTGGCACTGAGGACCCTGGGCTGGGGTACCCAGGCTGGCGGGCTGGCTCCACTTGAGGCAGAGCCTTTGGGGCGGCCTTCCTTTGCCTTCTCTGTAGTCCCCTCTCTTGACCTACAAATTTTACCCGAAAGGTGGCTTCTCCCATCAGACCTAACTTCGTACCCAAACTCTGACATCAGCCAGTGGGACGCTGAGCCCAGGACACTGAGAGGAGGAGGGGGTGGAGAGGCGGTGGAGGACAAGAAGGGGACAGGGTGATGGCGGGGCTCCGTGGCTCCCTGCCGTGAGCCGGCACTCCTTCCTGGGCTGTCTGGAAGGGGGCTGGCACCTCTTGGCCTGGCGGCTGGGGAGGGTGAGACCTGCCCCCTCTGGCAGGACAGGGCTGAGCTGGTGACTGTCACTGAGGCAGGGGCTCCCTCTGCTCCTGGGCTGGACGGAGGCCTCCCCCAGGTGGGGGACATGCCACACCGGGTCGTGGTGCTCTGCGCCCTACAGCCTGCACTCCCTGTGCCCCAGGTCTCCCGCCTCCCCCTGTCGGGCCTCCGCAACTGGACAGCCGCAGCCTTGCCGCATGCAGTGTTCGCAGCCCGCCACTTCCGGCCCTTCCTCCCACCCCCAGGCCAGGCGCTGGGCGAGCCCTGGTGGATCATCCCCAGCGAACTGAGCGTCTTCACGGGCTACCTGTCCAACAACCGCTTCTACCCGCCGCCCCCCAAGGGCAAGGAGGTGAGGGCAGCCACAGTGCCTGGCCAGGCCACCGTGCCCACCCACTCCCAGCCCCCCCACCCCCGCTAGGGGCCCCAGGACCCTTGGCCAGCCTGGGCTCCGCCCTCTGCTTCCCAGGTCATCATCCACCGGCTCCTGAGCATGTTCCACCCCCGGCCCTTCGTGAAGACCCGCTTTGCCCCTCAGGGGGCTGTGGCCTGCCTGACCGCCATCAGCGACTTCTACTACACCGTGACGTTCCGGTGAGGGGCCGGCACCGGCCAGGCTCGGGCAGAGGAGGGCGCGCACTGGGAGGGACGCTGGCTCGGGGTCCCCGACTCCTCGGCCTCCCTCCTGTGGTCTCGGCTCTCTGGGCCTCCGTTTCCTCTGTGGGACAGGGTGGTGGTGGCTTCCTCGTAGGGCACGGGACTCAGTAGGAAAAGTGGGACTTGCTGCAGATGGGACTGGGGGCCGTGATTGTGCGTGATTGTCCCCGGAGGGCTGGAATCTTGGGTCCCACACCTCGAACAGGCCGTGGGAGCTCGGGGAGGTCAAGACAGGACTTTCAGAGGAGGCAGCATGGGGTGGGCCCTGAAGTACAGCGGCGTCGGGAGGTCCTCAGGCCTCTGGCCTCCCCTCCCCTTCCCTCCCTGGCCGCACGCCCTCCCTTGGCCCTCCTGGTCCTGCCCGGTCACAGGGAGGCTGGGTTGAGGTTCTGGCCCTGCTCAGCAGGCCCCTCCCCACAGGATCCATGCCGAGTTCCAGCTCAGTGAGCCCCCCGACTTCCCCTTCTGGTTCTCTCCTGGCCAGTTCACCGGCCACATCATCCTCTCCAAAGATGCCACCCACGTCCGCGACTTCCGGCTCTTCGTGCCCAACCACAGGTGGGAGCTTTGCCCTGCCCGGCCTGGGTGCACTGCTGTGGTGCGTCCGGCCCTGGGATGGGAGCCGGGTCCCAGAGGCTCCTCAGTCTCAGCTGCTTCCTTTGGGAAGGGCCAGCTGGCCCAACTGGAGGCAGCATGTGGCTGGCGGGATCAGTTGTCCTCCCACAAGCACTCGCCGCTCTGCTCCTGGGCCTGGCCCTCCACCCACCTCCACCCACAGAAGCACCTGCAGCCCGCAGCTGTTCACGCCTCCAGGGGAAAGCCAGCAGGTGGGCAAGGACCCAGCTGCCAGTGGCCCAGGAGGACTTCCCAGAGGAAGTGCCATCTAAGCAGAGGCCTGGGGGATGAGCAGAGGGAACACGCGTGCAAAGGCCTCAGGAGCCCTCCACTACCGCAGAGCCTCTGAGGGGCTTCTGGGTGTGGCTTCTCTCCCACCCAAGAGGACAGGGACTCTGGGCCAAGGAGAACATGAGGAGGCACGTGCCATGCTCCCAGCCCTCCCCTCAGCAAGGAGCACCTCCCTGTGTGGGCGCAGCCAGGGCCTCCCCCCAGGTTGTGAAGGAGGGGCTCCTGGGTTGGAAGAGACCGGAAGAGAGGGGCAGATAACAGCCCTGGCTCTGCTGCTTCTGGGCCTGTGTCCGGGGACCTGGCTGCAGCCTGCTGGCCCTGGGGGCGCACAGCTCATTGCCCTTCCCTTGCGCAGAGGTGGCTGGTCGGCAGGCCTGGGGCTCCCCCGTGCGGCGGCCCTGCGCATCGCACTCCTCAGGCAGACCAGGGAGGGAGGGAGTGGAGCAGGTTCCGTGTCCCGCGGCCTGTAGGTGCGGACCATTCTGTGTCCCACGCCGCAGGTGGACCATTGCTCTGCCTCAAGGGTGGTGGGTAGAGCGTGGCTGTGAAAGCCGGGCCGGTGGGGACCAGCGAGGGTGCCACCTGGGAAGAGGGGGCCAGTTCTGCATCAGGACCCAGCAGCTCTGCAACCTTGGGTCCACCTTGCCGAGCCCCAGTGTCCTCGTCTGCAGTGGCGACAGCTGAGGCTGGTGAGCGAGCTGGAGTCAGACGTGCTCATGGGCATGGGCATCGGTGACGCCACCGCCCCACCCTGGCCACCCCCAGGTCTCTGAACGTGGACATGGAGTGGCTGGACGGGGCCAGCGGGCCACCCCCAGGTCTCTGAACGTGGACATGGAGTGGCTGTATGGGGCCAGCGAGTCCAGCAACATGGAGGTGGACATCGGCTACATACCCCAGGTGAGCACCCAGCTGGCTGCCCCTGGAGGCCGAGGCTGGGCCTCCGTCTCCCACCTCTGCAATGAGTGGAACTTTCCTGGAGGGTTCTCACCTAACCCTGAGACCCCTCACCACGGCCCCCTGGCCAGATGGAGCTAGAGGCCACAGGCCCCTCTGTGCCCTCCGTGGTCCTGGATGAGGACGGCAAGGTGATCGACAGCCGCCCGCCCTCGGGGGAGCCCCTACAGTTCGTGTTTGAGGAGATCAGGTGGCAGCAGGAGCTGAGCTGGGAAGAGGCCACCCGGCGCCTGGAGGTGGCCATGTACCCCTTCAAGAAGGTGAGGCTGGGCCCGCGGAGTCCAGGCCGAGGCTACACGATGGCAGGACCTGGGCGTGCCAGTGGGAGCCATCCTTCGGCCATCCAGAACTTGGATGAGCCCCCCCATCCAGTTCAGCAGCACTCCGGTCACACAGACATGCACACACACACACACACACACATGCCACACAAAGTTCCCTGCACGTGTGCCTCCATGCGTGTTCACAAATGCACACACACTCTGCATGCTCGCACCCGGGGACAAGGCTCCAGCCACATGCAGTAGCTTCGCCCTGTCTCGTCTTTGTCCCAGGTCACCTACCTGCCATTCACGGAGGCCTTTGACCGAGCCCGGGCCGAGAACAAGCTGGTGCACTCCATCCTGCTGTGGGGAGCCCTGGACGACCAGTCCTGCTGAGGTGAGGGGACCCGGCTAGTCCCAAGGAGGAGAGGGAGGCTCCGGGGCCAGCGGGACTCCAGTGGGAGCCCCAAGGGACTGCACGGGGCGGAGGTACCATGCTCGGCCCAGAGGAAGCTGCTGGGTGCAGAAGAGGTGCCCTGCTGAGGGAGTTCCAACTCTGCCCTCGCCGAGCCTCAGTTTTCTCAACAGCACACGGGGGCAAATATACTCACCTCCTAGAGCTGCGAAGATGGGAGTGAAAGTGCCTGTACCCTGAAGTGCCGCACACCGCGGGAGGGACGTTGAGGGGAGGCTCGCACTCGGAGAACCCCCAAGGCCGGCGGGATGCGAGTTCTGTGGTGCCCAGCAGTAGGTCCAGGACACGTAAAACAGTCCTGCCCTCTTCTAGTCAGTTAGCAAATATCGGCACCCACGTGCCACATGGCAGGCGAGGTGCCGGCGTCCTGCGGTGACTGTGGAGGCAGACGCTGAGTGCGTGAGAGTGTGTCCCTGGGGGTCAGGCACGGCTCCTTTGAGAAGTGACATTTAAGCTGAGGCTTTGGAGTGAGTCAAGTAACAGAAGGCGTTCTGGGTAGACGAGTAGTCTGTGCAGAGGTCCTGGGGCACCGAGCTGAGTGGAGTTAAGGGGCTGTCTCTGGGAGGGTGACAGGTCACGTGGTTAAAGGCTAGCTTCCCATATGGCCTACTGTGGTTCGAGTCCCAGACCCGGCAGCTTGCTTCCTGGCTTTTGCTTTCCCTTTCTCTCTCTCTCTGTCTCTGGTCAAATTAAAAAGAATAACAAATTGAATTAAATAAATAAATCATTCTTTTTTAAGAAAAGAAGCAGCAGCAGCAGCTGTCTCTGTCTGTAAGTCCCTGAGCCAGGTAGAACCCCGCCCCTGCTCTCAACCTGGGATGCCGTTACTAACCGCAGTGCCGTCACGGAGCGCCTGCTCCGCAGGCTTCGATTCGGTGATTTCACCTGTGGAGACCACTAAAGCCCGTGAAGTTTATCCAGAACAATGCTGACTGGAAGCCACGTGGGTGCCTCACCTCGGCCCTCTCCTCTCCCTGAGCAGGTTCGGGGCGGACTCTCCGGGAGACGGTCCTGGAAAGTTCGCCCATCCTGACACTTCTCAATGAGAGCTTCATCAGCACCTGGTCCCTTGTGAAGGAGCTGGAGGACCTGCAGGTGAGTGGCGGGTGAGCCGGGACAGCCCTCCGAGAGTCCTGGCCCGATGCAGGGACCCAGGCGTCAGGGCGTGCCCGACTGTGCCCGCAGAGCACCCCGGACAACCCGGCCCACCGGCGGCTGGCCAGCCTGCACCTGGAGAAGTACAGCTTCCCCGTGGAGATGATGATCTGCCTGCCCAACGGCTCCGTGGTAGGCACCGCCCACGAGACCCCTGGGCCAGCACTGTGGGGTCACAGGGACAGCGGCAGGGGTGTGGGCCTGCAGGGCTTTGGTCTGGCTCTGCGCGTCCTAGCTGTGCGGCCTCGAACCAGTCCGAGCCTCAGTGATCTCCGGGCGTGGGGCCGAAGCTCCGGGGGCCAGGGGCCTCCACAGCACTCGGGAGCACAGTCCTCTAGCAGAGTGAGCGTGTCCCCAAGTTGGAGCAGACAGGTTCAGTGGACAGAACGTGGCCGAGAAGGGAAGGCTCACCTTGGGCCATCGCAGCCAGCGCCGGATGAAGCGGGAGAGCCAGGCCTGTGACCGGCAGAGAGGGCAGGGGAGGGCCCTGCCTCTCCCTGAGGACCCTTTCAGGGCCTCGCGTTCCTCTAGTTGGGTCCTCACACAGCTCTGGGAGATAGATGGCCGTGCGCACCCATGTCACAGACAAGCAAAGTGAGGCTTAGGTTCTGGGACTCCATGTCAGGAGCGCCGCTGGTTTTGAGATAGGCCTGTGGGAGCCTCTGACGGCTGCAGGATGGTGGCTTCCTCGGGGCCTGAGGGGGAGTTCGGCTGGCTAGAGACGCGCACAGTGAGGGCTGGAGAGGAGCGGCAGGAGACTTCTGCTGCCCTAGGCTCAGGGTGATGGCAGTGTGGCCTGGAAGGTTGGGAGCTGCGGGAGGAGAGACGGGTGCACGTAGCCCTGGGAGTGGAGGTGAGCAGACAGGATGTGTGGGGACCCCGTCTGCTTTCACTTGTTCATGGTCTGTGTTTGCTCCATCATCCGCTCGCTCCTCGTCTGCCAGGCCCCCGCTCTGTGCACACACAGCCCTGCCCTAGGAGCGTGCTAGCTGGGCTGCAGCAGAGGGGTGCAGACCAGGGAGCGTGTGGCATTTCGATGCAAGCGACTAGGGAGTTCAGGGGTCAGAGAACAGGGAGAGGTCAGTTTGGGGGTGGGGGCTGTTGGAAGGTGTAGGGCACTGGGGCAGCAGACGCAGTGGGGAGGCCAGTGCACAGCCAGGCGGATGGCACAGACCTGGGGGTGGGCCTGGGGTGCTGGAGCTGCACTCCCGCTGGCGTGCCCTCGGAGGGGGTCGTTGGAGCCAGCAGGAGCAGACGGGGCAGGGGTGCACTGGGCCAGGCCTCCCACCCTCTCACCGGCCCTTCTCCCAGGTCCACCACATCAACGCCAACTACTTCCTGGACATCACCTCGCTGAAGCCCGAGGACATCGAGAACAATGTCTTCAGCTTCTCGTCCACCTTCGAAGACCCGTCCACGGCCACCTACATGCAGTTCCTGAAGGAGGGCCTCCGGCGTGGCCTGCCTCTCCTCCAGCCCTAGCGTGCCCGCGGGCCTGGTAGTCCTCAGCCCCCTCCGAGTGCAACCCCCTCCCCCCGGGCTGTCATGTGGATGGCCTCGGACTCGGGGTGCCCAGCTCGGGGTCATGAACCTTTAGCTCTGGCTGCCACCCTCAGCCTTCCCTACCCACCTGGCGCCAGAAGCCGAGACCTCCCGAACAGGACCTGGGGGACCCCAGTCACGTAGTGTAGGCCCCCGTGGGGAGACAGGGAGGATTGGGCTCGGAGGACCGGGCTCTTTGCTCTCACACCCTTCCTGAAGAAGCAACAAGCCCGGCCTAGGGAGCAGGCCCCAAGGGCAGCACCCTGTCTGGCACCTGCCTTCCCGCCCTCCCAGGGCTGCCCTCGTTGGCCTGAGGTCCCCTCTGCTGGAGCCAGCCTGCTAGGGCTGCTGGTCAGAACCCCCGGCAGACATGGAAGTCCTGCACCCTCTGCTGCTCCCCAGCTCTGGTCTCCCCAGACTGCTCACCAGACCTCACATGGGACCCACAGCCACTTGGGGCCTGTCAGAGGTGCGCCGTCCGGCCACTTTACCGCGAGGCAGGCCTCAGCCCTCAGCAAGAGCCTGCTGAGGGTCGCCGAGGCCCGGGGCAGCACGCAGATGGCTGGAGCCGCATCCCCGCACACACCCTGCCCTGGGACCCCGACCCCACAGAAGCATAGCCACTCCTGGGGCCTTGTCCACGCCCTGGGCCACTGACCATGGCCAGTCTCTTTTCTACCTGCAGAAGAGTGTTTTTATGTGAACTTTCTCACGGTTCGTAGCTATTTTTTTACAACCCCACGCTGAGGAGGAAGAGGGGGCCGGGCTTCCCCGGCAGCAGCTCCATGACTGCTGGCTCTGAAATCCCTGTGGAGCCAGCTCGATGCCCGCAGCTGCACGGCTGGAAGGCACCGTCCTCTCCCTCCCACCCAGCTTTTTAAAACCAGCCCTCAGAAGGCCGTCCGCCCTCGCTCCGCCGGGAGCACCCTTGCGCTCCCTTTCACTGAGCCCCCCATCCTCCCCCTTTCCCCTCCCCCACTAGGGCTCACATTAAACCTGCAGCCGAAGAAGGAAGGGGGACACTCCCATCCGCTGAGCCCCTGCCCACCATGGGGGCCCAGCCTCCTCAGCCAGGCTCACGTCTGTGTCCGTGTCCGGTGTGGTCAGGGCCCAGTATTGTCCCAGCCCTCACAGGGACTGGAGGTGCTCACTGTCCCCAGTTTGCACAGGGAGAAACGAGTCTCAGGGAAGCACAGTGACTTAGCCAGGTTCCTCAGTGGTAGCTGAGAGTCAGACCCACTCTGCATCTGCATTTGGGGGCGTTGGCTGGACACTGCAGCCCTGCTGCTCCCCCTCCTGCCTTCTCTGATGTGGAAAGGAAGTCTCTGGAGCCACACCAACTCACCCCTCTGATCTCGGACCACATGGGGCGTGCACCCACCAACTCGGCCAGGGGGTTCTGTCCTGGGGGGCAGCACTTCCATGCCCCTCACAGAGAGGGAGGCTGGAGCCAGCACCGTCTGGCCAGGCAGGGAGGGCAGCAGAGATGAAGCCTCGCCCGCAGGCTCTGCCCCCGGCCCCCACTGCAGGAGAGGTGGGGCTAGCTCCACACTGAGCAGCCGCCTGCCCTGTGAGATGCTGAGCGCTTGGGTTTTCCGCCTACACCGGGTGCCTCCGCCGGCCCCCCACCATTTCTTGGGGCCTATGGTAAGGGGAGGGCCCCCAGCCGCCCTCTTCTCACCCCTCTGCCTCCTCTCTCACCTGTCCCCAGTATGTCCTACAATAAAAGTGAAGAACTAGCGTTGCTCTAAGTGCTTTTCCTTTGGGATGTCGTTCAGTTTTGTCCTTCCCTGGTCTGGCTCCCTTTACTGTCGAGATGGCTTGGCAGGGAGGCCGATTCGAGTTGGAATGCCTTCGGAGACAACCCTGTCTGTCACCAGAGGTCCTGAGTAACTGCCTAAAACAAGCTTGCGATAGATCATATGGTAGGACATGGGGCCGGCAGGTGGTGTGGTGGTTAAGGGCGCTGGACTCACATGGCTGACCACAGTTCAAGTCCTAGACTTGGCAACTTGAAAATCATGCCAAGCATGTGTGTGTGCATGTCCGAAGTCCTGAGAGGAGAATGGAGGAGAAAGGACTGAAGCATGACCCACTCCACGGGAGGTGATTTCTCACTTTCTCTCTCTGTCTCTCTCTGGTGAGCACATATGCCCTATGGCAAAAACCTGGAAGGAAGGAAGGAAAAGGGGGCACAGCGTGAGTGGTCAGCTCCACAGCAGAAACCCCCTACTACAGCCATCCACTCTCCTGACACCATCCCCCAGTCAGGGCTCCACCCACCGTGTAAGTGACTCCTGTCCTCAAGGTGTGCCGAGGCTTCTAGGTAGAGCACGGCGCTAGGTGATAAAACTCCAGGGATCCCTGCTCATGGAAGAAGACAGCAGATGTGAACTCCCTGGGATGGGCATGTGTGGAGGTGGTGGGGAAGCCGCACCAGGATCCAAAGTGGGACATGCAGGACAGGCAGCAGGGCCCGCGGGCTGACCACAT